CTGAAATGTTCTTATCCAAATGAATGTGTGTTTTGCGAACGATGCATGGAAATACTGTGTTGGGGCTTACCACTCTGTGCTAAGAAGAGCTTTGTGTCTAGCAGAGGTTGTTTTTTTTTTAGCTCTAAGTGTGTGTGTAAGATGCCCTTGCTTTGGTTAGGTGAGAGTTCTGTGTGTCCCTCCTAAGTGACTTTCAGTGTCTGAATGTGTGTCTGAGCTCTCTGTGTCACTGTCCTGGAGAAATCCGTTGTGAGATGGGATCTTACACGTATAGGGAAAGCAAGAACGGAAGAAGAGAGTCTCACTTCTTTGGGATGTGAACAGATTACCTCGGTGTGACCTGTTCTGCATCAATTGTCTGTAGTTAAACTTGTACCCCATGGTACACTGCAGTAAAAATGAAATAATTTGATGGAGATTACTAACAAACGACGAGTTAAGACAGGATAACAAAGTAGCTTGTGTGGAGTAAGTGTGCTTACTGGTACAGTCAGGTAGCACAAGGTAGTTTATCCGTGTTTCCTGATGGGAAAGAGGGGTTTTCTTTGGGTTTATGGGTGGGTTTTTATTTCTTTTTTTCTCCCCTCCTTTTAGTTCTTGTGTCTGAAAAAGCCACAAGTTAGACTGTGAAATGCCTGATGTTACCTTCTTTTTCAGCAGAATGCTACAGACAAGTTGTCTTCCCCTCCCCACCCCCCAGTCTATTTCCCTTCTTTGTAATTCCTAGATTTTTATAGTATTTACTATTTTAGGAAAAATAAGAAAAATCAAATTGCAGGACAGTTGCTCCTAGTGTCATTCATTTTTTGCAGAGGTTTTTTTAATAGGTGAGGGAAAGTCCAGAGAAATAGAAAAAATGCCAAATGCGGAAATATTTTACCATCAGGGTTAAGAATGTCAACTGTAGAGATGTTGCATCACTTTGTCAGCCCTTCGTGTGTGTGTTCTGTGGAATTCTGAGGCCACATCCAGAGAGGTACAACCTGTGCAACTGGTATGTGTTAGTGTCATTTCAGTGTTGGAATGGTTCCTTTTTTAGTAGTGTGGTCTTAGATTTATCTTCTCAGATTGATAGTTGTTAACATCCATTTTTAAATATCTTTTCAGAGCAGGATTTATATATATATGTGACAAATTTGGAGGTAACATGACCTATTTTTCTTCCACACTATTGTTTGTCCGCCTCATTTTTTTGCTTATATAGTCTGAGTAAAATAAAATCTGGCAGTTAGGTGACTGACTTAAAATTTAGAGTTTATTTGGCAACGCTTTTTTGAGTCCTTTGGTATTATACAAGCCTTTCTTCTTGATCTTGCTGAGTATTTAGCTTGTAATTAAGCAACGCTATTCCAGTTATAAAGAAAAATCTCTAGCTTAAAAAGCTTTCAATCTGGAAAGGCAACAATTTGACATTTATGTGAAAATCTACTCAGTGAGGCTGTTATCTGCAGCGCTGTGCTTTTTATTCGTACAATTGAACCTCTACTCAGCACTTAATAAAGTAAGGTGTTGCAGGCAGTCCAGTTTGTGTCTGAGTGATTATGAAGTGTTTATGACAGCTTCTAAGCTGACACTCTCCGTAATGGTGTCACGTTGACTTCGGAACACCTTCTCCAGGAGTGTGTGTCTCTCTGCAGTCTGAGAGCTTTCACATTAACATCTCCTTGGAGTAAGATCTTTGACTACAGAAGTGTTACTTGCAAATGGAAGATACCATTAGGGCGGCTTCAAAGGGCTGAAGTAATGTTTGGACTGCTGGGTGCTGGAGTGAGGGCTGGGGTTTGAAGTGCAGGGTCTAAATCTGTATTGCATAAGAAGCGGAAGGTGTCCGTCCAAACGACTTCCCTTTGATCTTTGTTTTGAAATGGGGGTGGGAAGGTTAAAAGTGTTCTTAAAATATGCCTCGCTAAGTGGGGAGAAACCTGGGAATATACAAAAGTAGGACTAGAAGTTCCTATTTAATAGCTGTGCAGTGTAGTGTGGTGTTTTATCTGGAATTTGTTTTTCCATTTCTCCCAGTTTCATGTTTCAGATACAGTTGGAACTGGTTTCTGCCTAATGTGGTTTCCAAGTATCTGTTCTAGATGTTCCTGTTCAGGGAAATGCATGTTGGCTTGTTTTGTGGCAGATAATTTTTTTTTTTCGTTCTATACTGGAAGCTTCGGAAGTAGAAAAATCATCTTAATTTAATGGTTCGTATTGCAATTAAAAAAGAACGACCAAACTTGAGTGGAATAAAGTAGGAACTACCAAAGGGACCTTTTAATAACAAGCACGGCTGTATATTTAGCCAAAAAATACTTAGAGGCAGCCACAGACTGACGGGATGCATCAGCCCATGTGGTAGGTGACTTCTGTGTGGAGACCTCTGGAATGCAGAGGACTCATCGGACAAGGATGGCATCATGCACTTCCATTTTTCTACTGCCAGACCTTGATTTTTTTTTAAATGCTGCTGTCAATAGTACTGTGATTGTTAAAACTGCAATTGTACAGCAGATGGTGCGTGTGTATGTGGATGTATAGATGGATGTATATGGTGTGTCAGATGTGCCAGTTCCATTTTGTTTTCTCAACTGTTCATCAAAAACCCTGTCTGCTGAGGTTTCCATGTGGTCTTCGAAGTCCCTTTGTAATTATTCCCCTTTTAGAGCTGGAAAAAGGACTAGTCACTTATCACATAGTAAGCTGTGATCCTTCCTCTGTCCAGACCTCTTCCTGAAAGAGGGTACAGCTGTTAAGGCTTGTATGAGCCACTTGGAAAAATGGGGTAATGACCTGACCTGGTAACCCTGAAAAATGTCCAAGGACTTTACAAAACATCTACGCAAATAATTTCCTGAGACTTTGGGTTTTTACACTGCAGATGCTAGCAGTATGTAAGGCATTCTCTGCTTTTACACTTATAAAATGACTGCAGAACCATTGGAAAGGTTTTTTTATTCATATATTCATTAGGGGGAAAAAACCCAAACATGCAACAACTGTTGAAAAAGCTGTGGTGAGAGGTGTCAGAAGAGTCCAAACGGCTTTTCATGTGGCTCTCCTTGGATGAGGTCAAAGCTAAAGTGAAGACTCGTGAAGGGTGTTAGTACTCATACTCTGCCTGCATCCAATGTTGTCTGCGTCATTCTTGTCTTTGTGTAGAAATGAAAAAATGAGAAAAATGAAAAACAATGCAGAACCGTCAGCCAAATTAGAATTTTGTAGGAAGCCTGCAGCCTGATCATGCTGAAAGTCCTCAAAACGTATGACAAATAAAGTGAGAACATTGAGGAAACTGTAACCAAAACAATTTCTAAGCTTTCATTGTTTTTTAAAATTCAATTAGCATTGTCATGATTTTAAATGATAGATGCAATTTCACACTTAATTCAGTCACTAGAGTAGACATCTGTAACATTCTTTGATCATCTAAATTCTGGAGAGTAATTACAGAGATTTGTTTTGAATGAAAAAAGACTGTTAGAATTTCTAAACTAAAATGATAAAAATTGTCCTTCTACTTACAGTCCTTCCCTACTCTCTCAGTGGCAAGATGACTGGTAGTAGTCTTTAACTCAACACCATGATATCAAACAGTATTTTGTGGTGGTATCTGTCAGTTGCTTATTGTCATATTATAACATCATATCGTGACAATTTAGTTCATATTTAAAACATAGATCAGAATATATTAAAAAAAACCCCACCTTGATATCTTCCCTGTGCTCTGTGACAGTTTTTGAATATACAGTTTCCTTTCATATAGTTGCCCAGTAGTTGAAGCATTGAGTTTTGAACTTCATGTTTGAGTTTGGTGTACATTTGACTTTTTTTTTTTTCACCATGTGAAAACCATTTTCTATGGTTGGAAACTATTAGTTATCCTTAGTGCGAACAAAACTTCCTTTGTTCTGTTGTTTTTTACGGGTGCAAACTGGTATGCTTCAAACAATAAAGCTCTGTCATCAAAAATTAACCAGTGCTCCAGATTTCTGGTCTGTCACATTTTAAGCAATAGCTCAAGACATCTAAGTGAAGGAGAGAGTGCTTCATCTTCTTTTCATCTGTCATTATTGGAAGAAAGTGATGAAGACCTCACCGGGGGCCGGGTTTGGAATCGTCAGCTGCTTTGCTTGCAGCTTCCGTGTAGGTCTGGGGCTTGTGGTTTGGTACCAGGTGCTGGGAAAGCTGAAACCTTCTATCGGACCAGCTTGGAGCCATCGTTGTGGATTCGTTTTTTCACAGAATGAGTACCTGAAGCTGCTTTTATAGCTTAATATTCAATTCTTGAAACCTGTTTGGAAACGTTCTTGGCTTTCGGAATGGGAAAGGAAAACTTTTAAGAGCTTTGAAAGCTGCCACGGGGACTTGCTACTTAGCTGGATGGGATCCAAGATGGCAGCCGCAGCCTAGTTTCTTCACAGGTGCCTTTTGAAGAATTTAAAGCTCTGTTTTCAGTTCGTGAAGTCTATTTATATTTTGTCTATGCATGTGAGACTGCGTAGCTCAAGGGACTGGTAATGGGATGTGGAGCCTTTCACTTATCCTTGCCAGCCCGCATCTCGCCCAAACTGGCAGTGACCAAGTTATTGGCCATTTAGCCATGGGCTTGGGCTTGTGGTAAATGTAGTTCCTTCTCCTGCTTTAGTTCCTAGTGGAGTAAGTGTCCCATTCCCAGGAAAGATTGGCTGTCTCAGGAGTGAGAGAAGACCTGAACTGGCAGGAAGATCTGAGTATATAATCTCTCTACTCTGAAGATGGTGCTTTCGGTCCAAATTGGTGCACGTGACCTCAGCAATGGTAATAAAGTTTTATGTTTTATACAGGTAAAGGAAGGACATTAACACCAACTGCAGTTAATTCAGAATTTTGTAAAACTGCAAATAGCAGAAGCTTCTGCTGATAGCAGAGTTTAAAAAAAGTTAATTATAAGTTAAAGAAAATCTTGAACTCTGAAGCCCTAATGCATTTTTCAATGCCAAGCAAACCAGAACAACCACCAAGCTCTCACTAATTCAAGACATACAACCAAGTCCAATGCCTTCAATGATTTCCTGTTTCTGTAGAACAGTTGACATACAACTTAAAAAAAAAAAAATATCCCTTAAGAAAACAGTTATTTTATGGAGCTATGATCGATTAAATACCAGTGTTTTAATCTGATCCATGTTGTAGTGTTGTGTCCAGATGTTTTGTAAACTTTTTTGTGCTTTTTACTGATTTTGACTTTTTCTTTAAAAATGTGATGCCGGTAGGTGGGTGGGAACTTGTGTTTTCATTACAAAATCTGCAGTGGAGGTCTATCTTAAAATTTGCTCCTTTTTGACTCCTAGTAGAAGTCAGCACATATAACCTGCTAAGTACAGGAGCTGTACAAGTGGCTGAAGTTATCTGAACATTTAGTTGCCTTTTTTTTGTTTCCCCCTTAGTTTTACACAGTTTCCCCTTTCCTTGGGGGGGGGAACCCTACACAGACCGAGAGGAAAGGGAATGTTACACTACAGAATTATGCATTACAGTGCTCTCAAAACTCTTAGGAGCAAACTATCTATAATCTCATCTTTGCCACTTTCTGATCCAGTGGCTTTGATTAGTCCATTTAAATTTTCCTTCTGCAATTTCTCCTCAGTATAAAATGATAAAATTATTATATTTCAAGTAAAGAATATCTGTTATTTAAAAGTAAAAACATTATATGCATGAAAAGGCTAGACTGGGATTTTTATGTTAGATGCTGAAGTACAAATAAACTGCATTTGTATTTGTACGTTTTAGGCTTTTCTTTGGAAACCTCAAATTTAGGCTCCACCAGGTCTTGGCGTCACAAGCTAAATAGACATGCTCTCTGGAGTTCAGTATATTTAAGAGCAGAAACTGAGTTAAGAAGGTTTGGCCTTCTTGGTGTATCTTACTTTTGGGACTGTAACTTTATTTGAGGTGGACTGGGGTTAGAGCTGGTGTGCTGGCAAAGTTAAAAAGCAGAAGGAGGTGACCGACTTGGGCTGGGTTATTTTATGTGAATCGCCTCTTCCGTACTTCTGTTATGCTGGTTCTTTTCCCTCTTGTTTTCATTCGTAGCCATTGATGTGCATACACATGGGAAACGGCATTTTCATGATTTTTGGGGAAAATAATCTTTAATTGCCAATAATAATAGTTCCAAAGCTTTATATTTTTCTCCTTCTCCATTTCCTCTTTTCCCTTTTCATAGAGTTGGTGTGTTCTGATGGATAGAAAATGCGCTGCTGTCTTCATCTCTTTTCATCTCTTTATTTCTCTTTTTCTTTAATTTTTCTCATTTTCTGCTTAGCTGCACTGTACTTTTTTCAGGCTGTCTTTTCTGGATACACGTTATCTATGTACCTTTTTTTTTCCCCCCACACTGTCCTCCAAACTCACGATCTGTTAAAAAACGATCAGCAAACCTTTACTGAGTTGGTTTCTGATCATCATTCTTCTGTCTTGTATGGAATCTGGTCAGCAAGCTCTTCAGAGCTGTCCCCGAGGGAGAATTAAACTTGTTTTGGAAAAGCTGGTGTACTGCAGTGTTGTATGCTGTTCAGATGCTGCTGCTAGCTGGAAGAGTTGAGTCTGTTAGATTGGAACATCTGCCTAATAAAATAAGAGCAGGGTAGACTAAGGGCTTAGTTCTCGTATTGATTCAAGTTTTAAAACTGTTGTGTCCATCAGGAATAATTCTGATGGAAGAGTCGTGCTTCCATGGGGTAGGTTTCCTCCTGCCTGCGCTATCTAAGGCAGTGATAATAAAGAACGAGGCCCTGGGTTAAGACTGGATGAAAACTAAGAGTCTGAAGTAGGATACTTAGGATTTGTTGGTCAAACAGTAGCAGTATTTTAACTTTTTGAATGTGATCTGAAGTGCAGAAGGAAATGGGAACAATCATAAAATGACATTTCAAAAAGCTGACTTCGATTTATAGTTTATTGATTCATAAGAATCTTGTTTCAAATTGTGTTCACTTCTGATGTTGTAAACTGCTTGTTTGGCAAAACTTTCTGCCTACATGTTGGCTACATTCTTAGTCTCATTACATCTGTTTTAAGTTGCTGGTTATTTGGAAATGACCTTCATAATGTTTGCTGTTTTCCTGAAGTTTGACGTTCCGTATCGGATCCATTACCAGGCAGTTATGAAAATGCATTCTGACTGACCGTTTACAGGAAGTCTGGAAATTCTTCCCAACTACTTCTGATTTAATCTTTTCAAGATTGCCATTAGTGACAAACTTCATTAGCCTGACCTCTTACTTTTAAACATAATTTTCACACCTGGAGAATATAGAATGTACCAGTATATGAAATTCTCTGATCTTTTACCATCAATATTTGCCACTCTTGATTATTGGTTGGTGTTTTTCTTAGAAACGTGCTGTGTAGAGTAAGTGATTGTGTCGGATTCCTTGAATTGTTGTGAATGTTCGTCAGCAGTCAACTTCAAGTCTTGTTTGTTCTAAAAGATGTGTAGGCATTACCAGTAGACAGTGCCAGTGTTTCATTCATGGAGTCTTAGGCACGTGTTTTCCAGGCAGGGCATCTTTGTTACTCTAATTTGTATTATTCCAGATTTCTAGAATACTGTCATTTAGAGAAATTACAGATGGTTGGTGAGAAAGACAATGTCTCACTAAGTTACCTACCTTTCATACAGTGTCTTTCTACTGACTTTCTTTCCTACTAAATATATATATTCCATAAGTATAAATATATATTATTTTATATATATTCCATAAGTATATCTTTTTTACATTGGATGTTCATAATCCATGTTTTGCAGATCAGTGGTGAAGCTCAGGAGCTCTTTTCTGTCCGCCATGGTCCGGTTCGAGCCGCACGGATTTTACCAGCTCCACAAATCAGTAAGTATATATTTATATCGTTCATTTTTTTAGAGGTCCTTGTCCATATCATTATTGTAACCTGGTATGTAGATTTTTCCATTACTTTTAAGCTCTCACCTTCATAATACCTTTCTACAAGTATTTTCTACTTTCTACAGTATTTTCTACTGCTTTTTTGCTTCCTGCTCTGTAATCCAGTACTTTCTCCAGTTTCATCTTCAGATATTAGCTTTGATACTGCTTCCTTTGTAGTTTAGAGGGTATCTAGGTATGTCTGTGCTCAGAGATCAGCCCGGAGATGTTAATGATTCTATTTGGAAACGTTTATTGTCAATATTTCATTGCTATAAAATAATACTGAAATTACTTTTTTATACCAAGGCAGTGGCTGATAGCAGTAGATTTAGAAATTATTAACATTTATTAAAAACTCCTCTTATAGTGCATCGTGAAGTCTTCATAATGTGATGCCCTTCTAAACTCTTCAACTCTTTAGAAGGATGTATGTCTTTTTTTTTTTTTGTTACCCATTCAGGAGCTGAAACTGAAACAATGTGAGATAATGTAAGAAGTAGTTGATCTGAGTAATATAGTTTGTACAAAGAGAAAATGTCCTGATTATTTCGATATTTTATTTATGAAGAAAATATCAAATATTTTCTACACTGTGAAATGATCTAAATAGTCTGTTATTAAGTAGAGCAATTAAGTTTAGCAACTGCAGTGTTTTATGACATATTTAAAAAAGGCTACTCTTCCACTCCAGTAAAAGTAACGAGACAATGGAATTTGTTTTTTGGGGTGGTACTAGCTTCTAATTAGTTTCTCTTCTGCTTATTTTATGTAAACTTTATTCAAACAGTTGGACCTTTTTAGTGGTTGAACTTTTATCTTGATCCCTTGAGTGCTGGTAGTCTATTTAACAGGATAATTTCAGAAATTCTGAGTTAACCCCCTGGAAGAGCTTTCTGTAAAATTGAAGCAACTATGTGTAAACAAGCAAATCCTTTTAAAAAATCCCTTTAAAAAATGACACTGTTCAGTCTAAACACAAAATCTGATCGTGGACCTCTTAAAGGCCTAAGATCTGTTGGTGTCAGGGCTCGGTTTTGCTTTCGGCAACGTTCCACTGGACAAGGTATTCTGAACAGAATAGTGAATTACAATAGTTCTGGGTGTTTCAGATAAAGTAAATAAAGAAAGTTACAGGTTTAATGGACACATTTTATATTATTTCAGTGATTTTTTTTTTTTTTTTCTGAGCAGAGAAATACAGAAAGTATGAGTATATGTGGTTTCTGTAACTCTGTTACAGGTTAAAGTAATTCAAAGCAAAATACTTCACAAGCGTTTTGTGCCTGTTATTCTGTTTATGGGGACACTGCATAATTCCTGATGAGCTGTGGGGTTTTTTTGCTGTTATGTGTGGCATTGAGTATTGGATGTCTGTGCCCCTTCCTCTCTCAAAGGAAGAAAGAGAAGTGTAAATGAGAATGAAGTAAATTAATTGAAGAACCTGTAAGTTGGTTTTTCTGGTAGTAAAATAGTGCTTTTTGATTTTTTTCAATCTATTAAGTTGCACTGCTTATGAACTCCTTCAAGCAGTGACTCTCTGTCTCTAAATTGCATAAATTTAGCATCTGAGAATGATAGTTGTTACATTAGAAAACTATTGAAATTAGCTCATATTAAATTAAGTCAAACCTTTTAAAAACATGTTTTGGTCTCTTTTTACATGGCTTGGTTTAAATAAATCTTTGATTAAAAGTACATGAATGTATCATTGACCAGTATCTGGAATCAGATAAAAGTAAAGCTGTAATAAGAGGCCTTAGATAACTAACACATGAGCTTTAATGATTCTGAAACAAAATAAAAGGAATTTGTGAAGGAGAAGCTGATTATAATCAGTAGGCTCAAACACTATTTTACTGTAAAGCTATAAAAAGGGAATTATTGAAAATAGGACTCTCTGGGTGGATGGATTTGGCACATTCCTAGAAACAGATCTCAGTTTGTGATAAGCAGCTCATTCCCAGGTGTGAAAGGAAAGCTCATGGTTTTAACTTGGTGACTTTACAGTAGCAGAACTTAATAGTTTGTCAAGTATTTTGGTAAAATACTATAGTCCTTTGATGTTAGATCCTCTGCTGCGTCATGTGCTTCACAGCATAATAAAGCATTGTTGAAAAGGAGTTATTTCATACAGGCTTGTTTCATGCAGGCTTATGGCAGAGGAGATCTCAAATGTGATGTAGCAGGTTGGAAGTGGCCCCAGCAGCAGGAACGCGGGGCAGTGTCTGGAGGTGGCCTTGCACAATGCCAGCTGGGATCCGGGGAGGGTTGTTAGTTCAGGCTCTGTGCCATGCTGCAGCAGTCGAGTGGCTCCTGGAGCTGCTCTGACCTGGCAGCTGTGCTGCCACGTTCCTGCAGGGTTTGGTCTGAGCTAACAGACCAGGCAAGACCTGCCCTGGCCCAGCACCGCAGCGCTTTGATGTCTCTGTGTCCATGGCATGGTTGGTTCGGTATCTTGGATGAGATGCCCGTAAAAAATTGAGCAATTTCTGTAAATAACACTGAAAAACGTAGATGTTCACTCTTCTGTGTGGGCAGAGAGTATCTGTTGTCTTCAACAGCAGATTCGGCTTTGGTTGTTTTCCACAGCTTGCCGTGTGAATGGCCTTTTTGGAGGCTGAAGGTTCACGCTGTGACCAAATTTTGGGCTTAGGAGAGGAGGCGAGTTGCGGAGCTAATCCTCAGAGTGGGAGAACGTCTCTGGACGCTGTCGGTCTCAGAAATAAGAATACCGAGTCCTGGCACTCCTTCTTTTTTCCTTCTTTTTTCCTTCTTTTTTCCTTCTTTTTTCCTTCTTTTTTCCTTCTTTTTTCCTTCTTTTTTCCTTCTTTTTTCCTTCTTTTTTCCTTCTTTTTTCCTTCTTTTTTCCTTCTTTTTTCCTTCTTTTTTCCTTCTTTTTTCCTTCTTTTTTCCTTCTTTTTTCCTTCTTTTTTCCTTCTTTTTTCCTTCTTTTTTCCTTCTTTTTTCCTTCTTTTTTCCTTCTTTTTTCCTTCTTTTTTCCTTCTTTTTTCCTTCTTTTTTCCTTCTTTTTTCCTTCTTTTTTCCTTCTTTTTTCCTTCTTTTTTCCTTCTTTTTTCCTTCTTTTTTCCTTCTTTTTTCCTTCTTTTTTCCTTCTTTTTTCCTTCTTTTTTCCTTCTTTTTTCCTTCTTTTTTCCTTCTTTTTTCCTTCTTTTTTCCTTCTTTTTTCCTTCTTTTTTCCTTCTTTTTTCCTTCTTTTTTCCTTCTTTTTTCCTTCTTTTTTCCTTCTTTTTTCCTTCTTTTTTCCTTCTTTTTTCCTTCTTTTTTCCTTCTTTTTTCCTTCTTTTTTCCTTCTTTTTTCCTTCTTTTTTCCTTCTTTTTTCCTTCTTTTTTCCTTCTTTTTTCCTTCTTTTTTCCTTCTTTTTTCCTTCTTTTTTCCTTCTTTTTTCCTTCTTTTTTCCTTCTTTTTTCCTTCTTTTTTCCTTCTTTTTTCCTTCGGTTTAATACTTACTTATATGTGTACAGGTGCCTGGTTTACCGGGCTCTGGATTTCTCTGTCTCTTCAGATAAAACAAGCTTACAAAATGTGTTTGGAGACAAATCAATGCCACTTTGTGGTTATTAGAAGGGAGAAAATATTAAGTGGTAGGTACAAAAGAAAGCTGGAGCTCTGCCAGTTCAGTTGAGCTACTGTGCTCTGTGAAGGGGAAGCTATGGTTGGTAACGTCATTGTAGGTAACGACAGTGAGAGAACCAAGCAAAAATCAGGGTGTATTAACTCCCTCCTCCATTTAATATGATTCAGATTTGTGCTGTCCTCACTACTACTCAAGTTCCTTTGTACTTGGCTTCCTCTCACACGGTACCTAAGGGCTCTAGTTAGCCACACTGACCTAATTATTCATATTCTTTGCTCAACAGGTTTTCTGATTTTTTCACCACTTCCTCTAGATGATGCATTTTTCTGAGATAACTGACTGCATGAATACATGCTTGTAGGATTGAAATGATACTAGGTTTGAGTCCTGTATATTAAGTATTCCGTCTTGGATATTCCTACATTTGTCTTGTGCCTTTTCTCTCTTGATTAGCATTTCCGTGATATTTATAGAAACATTAAAAATATCACTTATTTGGGTTTTCTGTAGTAGTTGTATGTTCTTTGACCTATGAAGTCACTAATAAAATGGATTCAGAACTCTGAGTATTTTAAAAAATTTGTTGTGTTTTGATCTCATTTTGAGGTGCATTGCATATGTACTTCTGAAATCAGTGCTAAGGAAGTAATATGTTTACTTCACATAGCTTTGCTATTTTTTTCCTACAAAATCAGAATATTACTGCTTTCTGAAGTGAATTAGTGCTACAGTCTCCCATTTTTCATTACTTCTCCGAGGTCATTTTACAAAACCCTGGCCAAATACCTGCTTTCTGCCTTCTGCTATCCCATTTATTAAGGTAGACTTGCATAGTTTGAAAGCTGATCAAGAAACTAAGAAAATCTGCAGCAATAGCATTGTGTGGGGTAATTCATGGTTAGAGGGTACGTGATGACAGGCTTGTGTGTTGAAGTTTAGATCAGTCGTTGTCTGTAAAACCTATTTCCATGTCTCAGCATTATGAAAATAAATTCCTCCAGTGACCTGAATTAATTTATTGCTGTTTTCTAGATTATACTGCTTGCAGAAAAGATGATATGTTAGTCCTACCTCTCTCAGTGAATTTGACTGGTTAGCCCAATTGACTGATAAGGGAAAAAAGCAAATAAGAAAGGAAATAAAAGAAAGAAATCAGAGATAATATGTTTAAAATAACTGTGAACCAAGGGAACCTTATAGATGAAGGGTTGAGAATTAGAATTAATATGAAAAGCTGAAATTAATTGGGACACAATAGTTTTGCATTTGAAAATCTAAAAGTCTTAAAAGTTTAAATTTTGCAGCAGATTTAACTCTGTGCTTACATGTTCGATGTTGGTAAAATAGAATTTGAACCTCAAAAGCTAACTCAGCTTTATGTGCAGGTATACTTAAAAGAACTATAATATTTAGGTTGCTTTCTAGAGGCAGGCAGATGGGAGTTTTGTCTATATTCAGCCACTTGGGTGGCTTAGTGGTTTTAAGTCCCTGAGGACCAAAATAATTGCACAGTGTGTGCAGTGGAGGAGGCAGCCCCACGAGCTGAACAAGCAGGAGCAGTTGATAGTGAGGTTTGGGTGGTGTAAGTGGATTGTGCAGGTGTGCCTGTGAGTTTTGGTGTTTTGTCACTGTGATGTGGGTTGTTGTGGTATAATGAATGCTAATGTGTATGGATTACAGAAATTACAGAACAGGATTTTCAGGCATAGCAAGGAAGCCTTTTATAGATATTACAGGGAAGAGTTTTGGAGCGCAACTTTAAAATACTAATTTCTTTGAAGATGTGTTGACTGACCTGTATGCCACCATTTCAGTTCTGGCACATCGTGTCAATGCTTTAGACCAACGCACCTTAAACTTTCACCATGTTAGACTCATAATGTCTTTTAAGGTGGTTTTTTTTAATAAGTTTCAATTAAAATAACATATTTCTCTCTCCCTTCAGTCAATGTGTGACTCTAGAAAACATTGATCTCTAGCAAATGTTTCAAGGTCATCTTTTGTTTGTTTTTTCATACAGAAGCTGCGTAGTTATCAGAGTAAAACTATGGTGCTGTGCAGAAAAACCAACAACTTTCTATAGACATGCATAGCTCTGTGTCTTTGACAGGACTGCCAAGGTAGTGTTCTCCAGCCACCACTGCTTCTTGCAGCATTGCTGTCTTATCTCGGGAATGGGAGGGTGCAATGGGCTTAGGAGCCTGTAGATATGGCAATCAGCTGGATTTGAAGGGGGTTCTAGGGTGATAACTTGTGGAGGATGTAGGAAACGGGGATGATGATGCAGGTACTGGAGAGGGACTTGGAAACTTGAAATGTCTGGGTGATGCTGGGGGTTAAGGGAGATGGAATAATATGATGCTCACAGTCTAGAACATTAATCCTAAAGGAGCACATCTGGGACGAGGGCAGCAGTCGCAGCACCATTGATCAGGTATGATGTTGAATAATGCAGTTAAAGCTTATCTGTGCAAGAAATGGAGCGTTATAGATGCTACCTTGAAGCTGAGGCAAGAATTCACACACTATTTTTAGGGCTGACTCCAGCCTCTTCACTTCTCTTTCAAGTAGCACAGACACTTTTTTGGATTTATGTTCAATAATAAAGCAGACACAAAATGGTACTGGTTAAGAAATGTTAAGAAAGTTTTGTTTTGTTTTTTTCCTGAAAAGAAGCAGCAAAATAAGGAGTGAAAACCATACGTAGCCCTGTGGCCTAATGCATTTCCAGACACTGGTTGACTGCTGCACTGGTGTGGGGCAGGACCACAAATGCAACACAATTTTCAAGTAACAGGTAGAAATAGGAGGGGTTTAGTTGGAGAGGAGATGCACTGCGTTATCAAACAGCTGGGATGGAGCTTAATCAGTGTAATTACATACCAGCAAAATATACTCTACTGTGCATATCTGCTGTGGCTAAATAGGTCAGAATTTCATGTTTGCACAGTGCATTTCTAACTCAAGGGAAACGAGGGTGCTTTAAGTAGCTTTTGAGTTCCTGTGAAAATCACTGGGGTTTCATTTTTATTCTTCAAAAAGGTGTGGTGCTGCTGTTACTGTTGTTATTGGCATTATTGAGGGGCCCAGGAGATACCTGCTCACGGTTTCATCAGAAGAACAGTATGTCTGTGAGCTGCTTTGGGCTTATGTGTAGATAACCTTCTGACTTCATCAAGTTCTGAATGTTGATTTGTATGAAATTTCATTTAGCCACAGATATTTTTTTCAGTTTTAAGTATACTAACTGAAGTCAGATTTTATTTTTAAAAAGAAAAAACAACCACATATCATTTAGCTAAATGGAGCTGTAGATAAGGTGGTGCCTTGTTGGCAGGAAGGACAGTTTTCATTACTTTAATTGTGTGATTTGTCAGGATTTTCAGCTTTTTGTAAATGCTGTAGTGTTATATGACAGAATTAAAAGGATTTAGAATAAAAGGAGTTTAAGAAAAAGACTTTGCAACAGGATTTCAATACTTTTTGTATTTGAGGGATTTAGCGAGCTGTTTTTCATTTCAATCATCCTGCTGCATTTTGTTAAACACTGTGTGGAGCAGGTGTGTACAACGTCAGTGTATCGCACATGCAAATAAACACAATTTTGCAAATAAAAATTAATCCACCATAACTTGGAAGATTAAATCCCACTGCAGAACTAGGAAGGGCTGCTGACTCCATTAAGCATTGCAGAGAACAACACATGTCGCTTTTTGCAATCTCATGGATAGGATGGCTATTAACCTGATTTAATACCCTACAGAGTCCTCAAAATAATGATATTTTTCTACAGTATTAATATTTACATTCCAAAAGTATATATTTGAAGTAGAAAATGGATTTTTTTTAAATGAGGGCCTTAGTCATTCCAGACTGAAATCAGAAGTTTAAGCACCTCTTGTACAAATTTTGCAAATCTGTATTGTGAGTATTAAAAAATGGTATTGCTCTTGATTTTGTGCAGTTGTTTCCGTGTACTCCTCACCACTTTTCTTCCCCTTGCTCGCCCTTTCTTCTTGTGAAACTTAGAACTAGACCATAAAGAAACATACGAATTCATGTCTCGGATATATCCTGGTTTAAAGAAAAAAACCAAAAGAAACAAAAAAAAGTGTCGTTAAATACTAAAGGTAAAATCCTGGCTCTGCTTAAATCAGTGTCAGACGTCCTGATAGTCAGCATTTCACCTTTAATGCTGGGAGACTGGCTAAGTGAGCAGGAACAAATGGAGTTCATCTGTTACTTGTGTTGAAGAAAACAAATTGGTTGCCAGATTCTTAAGAAGACTATATGTTTCATTTATCAATTTACAGGTCAGTACATACAGTACAGGTATGACTCATAAAAGACCTTGAAATAATAGGAATAAAAGGAAAATACGTTTGGCTGTTTTAGGTTGCTTGTAAAGCTATTGTTGATGGTGAAATTATTGATGTGACCCATTTGACTTTATAAATACCCAAATGTGTAGGAGGGAAGACTTATCCTTGTACAGATGAGAGTACTGAACGGGTTTTGTTACAAATTAATTGCATGTACCCGAGTTATTAATAATTAACAGAGACTGTTATGTGAAAATGTATATTGTTAATTGTTGTGCCTTTCTGAATAATTGATTTAGTGCAGCTACACCAGTATTTGTGAATTAAATTTTGAACAGACTATATCACTAATATTCTTTACAGATCAAAGGGTTTGGTATGTAATGGAGAGAAAAAAAATAATTCCATTATTCACCACACACATACATACCTATAGATAGATAATTCAAAAGGCAAAGACTGAAAGAAGACAGGGAAAATGTTGTAGTGTTGTTCGTTGTTCTTTGGTTCTTTAAGTTGGGTAGAAACTTACCTTGGAATTCAGTAAATCATTGTTCATAAGTTTCAGCTCAATTTTAGGTTCATTTCTGTTTATGTAGCAATAAGGCAAAGTTTTCAAAACTTGTAAAATCCCATTTTAAGAAGCGTGGCGTATTTCACAATGTGACAGCTCTGGAGTCGAGGCGTGACTGCGGTTTGGGAAGACGAAAGGCTGGTTTTAATTGCCCGGCTCTGGTGGTGGCATGCATGGATCCAGGGCAGGCAGAGCTGTCTGAGCACCTGAATTCCAGCAGAGGACGAGCCCATGCCAAGCTCTGCTGCTGGGGCTACACTGGTGTTACCTGGTGAAGCCAATCTTAAAAGAAGGTGGGATATGGTGTTAGAAATCGTGTTCTCACACGTGAGCAGCAGGAAGAGCCTGAGTCTCACTGGAAGTGGTCGGAGGTTACTTTTGCTGGGTGGTGGAACTTATTGAAGGGTGTTTGGAATTCAATCTTGTATTTTCTTAGGCACGGAGCGTGGGCTGTGAGCGTGGCCCTGCTGGGGCAAACACTGGCAGCCCAGCTTGTCTCTCCACGTGCTGGAGAGAGAAGATACTCCTACGCTGCGCTCTTACAGTTAGCGCTCCGATATCCCACTTCCAGCTCAGTAGAACAAATTGGAAACCAGTGTATGAAACCCACGCAGCGCTGGTGGCAGCCTTATTACAGGCAACTTGTATAAAACAATGAAAAGTGAGCAAGTGTGACTCGTTACAGTTACAGAATCCTTAACCCCGACTGGAATGAATAGAAAATAACTCCAAAATCCTGGCCGGATTTTGCTGCTTGTTGTGTTACTGGTCGTCTCTTCCAGTATTCGTGCCTCTGCCTGTCGTTTGTGTTTCTGTCACTAATCTTGTACAGGCTGGGAGTTTTGTGTTATATATTCCATATCCTTCCGGTATATTGGGCCCCCACAACATGCACACCTCCACTTTTGAAAGGTAACACAAACACGACATAGTGATTTGCTTTTTCTTGTTTGTTTTCCCTCGTTAGGTGCTCAGAAATGTGATAATTTTTCTGAGAAACGGCCTCTTCTTGGTGTATGCAAGAGCATTGGATCTTCTGGGTAAGAACGTTTTTTTTGTGAATAAAGTCTTATAGATTGCAATATCACCTAAAAACCCACAGTAGATTATGTCTTTAAAGCTCTATTCCTTTTTTGCTAATGGGATAACACTGCAAAGTGCTTTTAAAGTTGTTTTTTTCCTCTGTGTCAGCACACGTTTGCCTATGACTCAACCCTCTTAGAAGGAATAAAAAATAGAGACTTGATATAAAATAGATGAAGAGGTGTTTTGAGTTAATTTTTCGTTCTTGGTGTAATCACAATTTTATGGTTAGTCTTTTCTGATACTAATCCTGGTCAGAATTATTGAGAAGTAATACCTGTGACTTAAAAAGTAATTGAAAGATGCTTTCAAGCAACAGTTATACAACAAACAAATTACAAGCACCGAGCAGTTTCACTGTTACAGCCACTCACTGTTTGTTAGCAAAATACGTGTTAATTCCTACTTCTTTGGGTTAGAAAAATAAGTTAATGGTGTTGGCTTGTGCTCTCTGGACAGTGTTGTTGTATCACCTCTCTTACAAAAGAGAGCCTCAATATCAACATTTTATATGTTTGATATGTTGATTCAGACAAGGCAAAGGCTTTATGTCTGTACCTACAGGAAAATATTTGCTTTTCAAGGGTAATCCTCTACATGGCGATTCGAAGGCTAAACAGCTGAAGTAAAACTTCTTACAGTAGTGAGACTAATTCTGTGCCACACTTTTTTCAGTTAAGAATTTAATCACTCTTGGTGTGGAGAAAGACTACCAAATCTCTGTTAAGTTCTTTGTATGTATTATTTCTGTGTTAAACTGGAATATTAATGTTACCCAGCTTAAATGTTTGAAGCAAAAACCATGTAGGGTAGAGAAGTGAAGTGTCTTTCTATTCATGTTTTTAAAACTTGCAATACTGCTGCTACTGCCTCTTCTCCTTCCCTCTCCCATAAGTGTATATAATCTCAGGAACAAGAGTGCATGTCACTGGTGATGCAAATACTGCTCTTCTACGACTTTCTTAATCCAAACAGTGCATTTATTATATACATAAAGGATATGTTGGATGGAAAAAACTTGCCTTCATACCTTTGCTTTAGAAGCTGAGATATCTGAGAAATGAACAAAATACAAGGATTTGTTTTTCTAAAAAAAAAGCTTGTATGTTTTCAAAATGAATGATTTGTGTTACTGCTTATCAGTAGTTAAATATTTGCAAATAGAAGATTTTAAATCAAGCTTCCTCTGTGACCAGGAGACTAGCATGTCCTTAAAAAAAGAAGACTGCTACAGGCTCTTGTTTACCCATTTAATAAAGAATTGGTTTGTTAACAGTGGTAAACCTTCACCAGAAAATTCTGAAACGCTTTCCTACATTTACTGTTTATTGTGTAAAGAAGAATTTGTGTAGAACATTAAAATAACTGCGTTATGAATGACCTCTGAACCTGAATCACAGTTTTAGTTCTGCTCTTAACGTGAGGTTTTGTGCTTAGCTCTGTTTCGTGCATATCTTAACTGTTGTGGACAGATAAAACACCTTGTTTTATCATATATCTGAAGAAAATACTACATTTATTCTAGAGCATTTATTCCAAAGTACTTGATTTTCACTACAGTCATCTCCTCACCTACTTTGGAGGTTATGTGGGCTATGACATGGAATACTGCAGATGTCAGCACGCTGCTGAAAACGTGCAGGGAATAGGGGGCCTGTTCTGTCCACCAAATAGATTATGGCAGTGAGGCTGGAACTACCTGATCTTGAAGGTCCTTTCCAACCCAAACCATTCTGTGTTTTTTTTTATTTTATTTTATGGACTCATGATGTACATATATTCAAATGCATAAAAATCTTCAACAAATTTGAATTCGGCAGGTACGAAAATTACATGAGCAGGTTTTAGGTGTTAAAAATACTAAACCATTAAAGTAATACGAATCTCATGGAATATAGTTTTATCTAGGTTCACTGCACGGTCATTTAATAATATTTTGTCTTTTCGGACTGTATCCATGAGATACTGACACGTTCAAATTAGGACCTGGGATTTCCTGGGTCTGACCACTGGTCTGCATTAGTGATTACCATGAGGAGTTCTTCTCTTTTCCTTCAGCTATAAAGTAAATACACTCTAATGAGGAGAACATTATAAAAAAATATTCTTTCTAATGTAGATCACTTGTCAATCTGGAATCCAAAGAATTTTTGAGTAGTCATGAATTAATAACTTCAAAAATATCACTTCTATTAAATAACTTCAGTATTTTTCACTCTCCCTCTAATATACCATGTACTGTAATGGAAAGAAATTAATGAATAATTTTGTCTATGATAATATGCTAAGACTTCTTAATTATGAAACAAAGATATAGATATGGATATAGAAGTACTTTCTGCAAAATGATGTTTGCCTAAAATCAAAATTTACGTTTACATTTCATTCCTGAAATATTTTTCATTGTCATTTACCCAGTGAAAGATCTCTTTGGTAACTTAGAAATAGAGTAGTTTACCCTGGAGATCCTCTAATGTTTTACTGATTTACAGATTTTTGTCAGGTCTAAAAATACCTTGTTAATTTTTAGTATGTCTCCCACAGATTTAACAACGTATTAACTTAAAAATCAACGTCTGGGTAACTTGGCGTGTGGTTTGCATCTCTCTTGTAATGTAACCTAATAGGGTAGTCACTGAGATAGTATATGCTGGTAAAACTTAATTCCTTTGAATATCTTAACATTCAGCTTAATATTTTTAGTTTTAAATCTTACCTTGTTTGTGACAGTCATGGTTGAGAACCTGCTTTAAAAAAAAAAATTATTTTAGCATATCTAAAATTTTAAACTTTGCACTTTGAAATTAATTTCTGGCACCTGCTTTATGTAAAAATTCTGTAGAGAGAGACTTGCCACTCATCTCAGTCCTTGTATTCCCCACAATGACTGTTTTACCAGGGAAGATGAAATTTGTGTTTTCTCATCTTTTACTGTGTATCTGAGTAGCTTTTGGTACACGCGTTTTTGTATTTTAAAAGTTAAATTTTCTGTCTAGTAAAATGATTGAAATGTCCAGCGTGGTTTCACTATATAATCTTTTCAAAACAATAGTTTTTTCAGCCTCCAAAAAAGATGCATTCTTGACACATAAATGGGAAACAGATTGTGTATTTTGGCTGATACTGCTGTGCTGGTTTAGATGTTGGTTCAGTCAACTTCAGTCTTAGATTACAAGATTTGCAAATTAAAGGAAAACCAAAAAGGAAAGAACATCTGCCTAAATTTTGGTTTTGTGGAGTTTCGTAGAGGTGTGCTTACTTTGTTCTTGGTGATAAGATAAACAAATCTTCATACATGCACAAAATGAATTGATAGTTTTTAGCACATATTAATGAATTTTCTTGGTGGTGAAACATCAAGATTAATAAACTGTAAAGGGAACAGAGAATTTTTTTTCCTTGTCAAAAAAGTGGTAGTGGTGGCCACAAAGCTGCATGGCAGAATCAGTCCATGTGTGCTGTTAGGAGCGACTCGGTTTAAAAATAACTATGTAAGACCAGTTATGTTAAATGGAAATATATTCCTATTTTCCCCATGTGTGTTGTCGAAACCATAGTTTGGAACATACTGGATCTGCAGAACACTTTGAAATACACCAGAGAGGTCCAAAATACGTTAGATGTGCTTTTTATTCTGCTCACGTGTTGCGTGTTACGTGCTGCATGTTACTAAGTTTAAGGGAAAATTGACGAGTATAATTTTATTTTAGGTCATTAAGAAAGAAATAATGTTTTTGAGAGTGATTGCAAGCCTGCCTTTCAGTAGACGATGTAGGTGACAAGAAGGCTAATGAAATAGAAGGGACCATGCCAGGAGTTCAAAAAAAAAAAAGTGTGTGTAAGTGCAGAGAAAGGGAGAAGAGGGCAGGGAAGGCAGAGATGAGAAATTCAGTGTCTTACGTAGGAAACCACCTCTCCTGAGTACAGAACGTTTTAAATACTTTAAACTCTAGTCTTTCCTCAAATACCAAGTGTTCTGATGGCTCAAGTGCTTAACCCATCATGCTTAATTAGGAGTTGCCAAACTCCAAAGAGATTTTTCTTTTTTTTATATCATACGTAGGTGACAAAATTGTTGTAATGAAACGCATACCAGTCTAGCTAAAGGGTTATATCGGTACAACTGTGGGGTTACAGCAGGGTGGGCTTTAGACCATAGTTCTACGATTCGTTGACTTGCAGCAGAGACAACCGAAAATTCCTGCTCATCTCGTCCGCTTGCGCCGCAGCCCTGCGCTGTGCCGCTTGAGCCGGTTGTAGAACCATTCAGTAAAGGAGATGGCAGAAGTGATCCGAGTGAAAAGTAATGCTCCCGTTTTAGCTTTTTAATGATACAGATGATTTCAGCTATCTGGTTTGCGCACAATTGCAAGGTGCAACTGGGAATGTAGCTAATTGTAATGCAAAGGTGGAAACGAGCACAGAGGATGGAATTTCTTAGGTTAGCTTTGCTGCTGAAGCTGGTTAGCCCTGAACTGTGCTCTTGCTTGCTATAATGCTTTATTCTGTTGCCCATCCCTCTTTAAACAGAGCAAAACAAAGAAGAAGAAGGTAGAAATCCTGTATGTGATTTGTCCCAACAACTATGGTTTTGGATAGCAATATTTCATCTTCTGTTAATGAACCATTGAGCAGGAAATGGGGAAAAATAAATCTTGACGATCTCCTTGAAATGCAATGCAGATCTCTAAGCCATCCTTACAAAAAGTATTTGAAACTTTGGTGCACTTGTCTTTTGTCCAAATAGCCAAATACAGATGCGTAAAAGATGAGGGATTTATGCCAAAGTCTTATGTAGGCATGTATGGTAATCATAGGAGTATTGCTAATTGGAAGATGAGTTGTAGAAGATTAAAAAGTAAGAGTTTGAGGCCAGTAGACTTTCCAACCTTCTACGTTAATGGAGAGTAAAGGACCTCAATCAGTCATCTCTGCAGTCAGCCTGTAGCATGTGTTA